TCTTAGTGCTTATATTACACACAAGACTTTATTCAGAGGTTAAAAAATAAAATACTTATCATATTTAGTTATGTTAAGCTAGGAATGGTGGACATTGTTATATTTCGATGCAATTAAAGTGACCAAAATAAGATAATTCAAAAACAATTACCAACCTGTTGGTGATGCTGAAGATGGAGATGAAACAGTGCTTCCACCGTTACTTGATGCTTGAGGCCATGCGTAAAAAGATGGAGGCCATTGTGGCATTGACTCATTGAACATTGGAATCGCAGTTTTATTTACTGTAATTAATAAAACGAAAGCACTTATCAATGATACTATGATCCGTCAGTTAACTCTCCCTACACTGCTCTTTATTGGGGTTGAAGCCCAGCAGAGAGAAAAGCGAGTCCAGGATAACTTGCATGCGCACGATCAGGGTGGACATCAGAGAGTGGTTTTGATATCACGGCGCTAGGATTTAAATTGAAAACAAATTGCTGCTGTATAGCACTTTAAATTGAGTTGCATTCGACAAAGTTGGTTATTCCATGCAGCTAGTACTCAAATTATTACTTGTAATATTTTCATTGAAATTGTAATTTTTTCTTTAGCAAGAATGGGCACAAATAAAGATTGATTATTATTATTTACAAAAAGTGCTTAATTGTGGTATTTTTAGAGAAGTCTCGGGAAATTTGCGACTGATGAAGGGGTTTTTGCCAAAACGTCTCTAAAAATACCACACATAAGCACTTCCTGTAAACTTTATCGAATGCACTAGAATTTAAACGATTTAAATTGCTCGTTCAAATGACGAATTCAACATGTTCAGTTACGTGGCGTGAAGCACTCGACTTGAATGCGAGAAACATTAGCGCAAATCGTGTCCAGGACACGAGAAAGGGCAAGGAAAAGGACAGCTCCGGAGGTTTCCAAATTTTCGTTGAAAAACGGGAGTGAAAATGGAGTCGGTATTGTTGGGACAGACGTCGGGATTCGTTTTGAGCGTGCATCCTCTATAACGCACTTCACTTCCAAAATGCCCTGTTTAAGACATAACTGACGTACA